AAAAAAAAAAAAACAACCAATTTTTTTTCCCTAGGAGAGGCTAGCTATTGAAGTTAGGATAATTGTGTGGTGATTTCAGACTTGGAAGTGGGGTCACAGTGGTGGTTACCCAAAGGATTGTTCCTATTCCCTGACCTAAGCTTAGATAAGGAGCATGTATTCTAGGAGCTGCCTTCTAGATGCTTGACTGCTTCTGTACTTACTACGTGTTTATCCCCAAAGAGCCATATCTATGAAAGACTGACATATTTTCCCCTTCTTTACCACAGAGAGAATTTCCTAAATTTTTCACGTTCCGAGCAAGGGATAAGGTAAGGACTGATTCCCTCCCACCCTTTTTTTTTTTTTTTAAACCCAAGAGTGGCTTATCTTTGCCATGTGCTCTTCTTGCCATTCTCCTTTCTCTAACTGAATTTGCGCTTCCCTTTGCCTTGCATGTGTCTTAGAACCAAGGAAGGCTCCCTTTGGAAAGAGTTTGGTGTAGGAAATAGTCCAGTGTATTGAGCTACCCAAGGAAAGCGATAACTTTCACAATCATCACTATGTTTTAGGCCGGTCCTAATGATATATTAAAGGACTACTTCCCTTAGTAGTATTATATCTTTTTTAATCTATGGATATTAAATATTCCAAAGCCAAATATCTTTATTTTTAAAAATTACATGATGTTTATTTCTTGAGTATTTACTGTGTCCTTTGTACTGTGCCAGAAATAATGAGAGTATAAAACTGGGCCCTGCCTGTAAGCATTTTAGTTGGGTAAACCCAAAACATCAGTATGTGAAGTAGATATTAATGTGAAGCAGTCTGTGGTTAATTGTCAGAAATGAACTGTATAGACAGTAATGCAGTAGGAGTTCTGAGGGAATTGGTATTTTTTGTTTGCTTGTTTTTAATGGAAATCATCACCATTTGTAAAAGCATAAATGATGAAAGCTTGGAAAGTAAATAGGTATTTTAGTCCCTAATCTTACGTAAGCTATAGCATTATTCTTGTATGTAGCTCATTTTTGTTGCTTATTAGCGCATCATCGTTTATGTTTCTATTTTCAAGCATCTCTTTTATGTATATGTTCATAATATAATTTTGTTAACTGCCTCTTGTGAGCTCTTTTGTTCTCCAATTTTGTGCTCAGTTTGAGGAGGATCGTATCTATCGTCACCTGGAGCCTGCCCTAGCTTTCCAGTTAGAACTGAACCGGATGAGAAATTTTGACCTTACTGCCATTCCATGTGCTAATCATAAGATGCACTTGTATCTTGGGGCAGCCAAGGTGGAAGTGGGCACTGAAGTGACAGACTATAGGTTCTTTGTTCGTGCAATCATCAGACATTCTGATCTGGTCACCAAGGTAAGTACCATACTTGGATGGGAAGTTATTCCTGAGGGAAGGGACAGAGAAACAGGCATTGTTCAAAATCAGGTTTTCATTTTTTGTTTTGTTTTTTAATTTATTTTTTTTTTTATCTTAAGTAGGCTCCACACCCAACATGGGGATTGAACTCACAACCCTGAGGTGAAGGGTTGCATGCCCTACTAACTGAGCCATCCAGGTGCCCCTACCGATTCTTTTAAAACACACTGATGTTGATGGTGATTTTCATTTTGTATAGGAAGCTTCTTTTGAATATCTACAAAATGAAGGGGAGCGGCTGCTCCTGGAGGCCATGGATGAATTGGAAGTTGCTTTTAATAATACAAATGTTCGCACTGACTGCAACCACATCTTCCTCAACTTTGTGCCCACAGTCATTATGGACCCATCAAAGGTACATTTCTCTTTAGCTTCTCTCCCAGCACTACCAAGCACAAGTAGAGAGATTCATCCATATTTATTCTCACTTAAACCTGGAAACAAGTACACTTGGTTAGCTAGTTGAGCCCTTGATCTTTAAGTTTACAGAATGCTTGTGAGACAGGGTTTCTGGGAGGGAGTCAAAAATTTGAAGCCATTGAAAGCAGACATCAAAACTGAAGGTGGTATAATGTTATCTTGCTGGTCATTTATAAGCGGTATGAAAACATAAAAGTTTCTTTCTGTTTTTCCATTGGTACCTGCTTTGGATACTTGTCATCATAATGGTCCTGTTTTTATATAATTCCCTAGGATTTCTCATCTGGAATAACTTTGCTATTTTTGGACATTTTGGCAAAATTACTGCTGTTTTGCACTAAATGTTACTTACCTGTGGCCTCGGGGAGGCAGTACAACTTCCTAAAGTGTCTAACCTATTTCCCTTCAGTATTTTTCCACAGGGAGACAATTTGGTTGTTATAGAATTTTCACATGTATTATATATGTTTTCTATCCTGAGGCTCTATTCTAAAATGCATTCCATATAGTTTAAGAAAGGAAAACAGGGTGATTCTATACTTGACCTTTTATCCCAGGTGTAATAAAGACAGACTGCTCTCTATTTGTATTCACTCTAACCTTTTTCTATCTTGGTATTGTGGAGTTTGGTTAGGAGAACCAGTATCTCCATTTCTCAAGATCAGTTGTAAGCATGGACTTTAGATTTTTGAACTTAATGTTTAAGACCTAAAAAATCACTTTCTGCTTTTTTTTTCCTTCAAGACTCTAAACTACTGATAGGTTGACAAGGATAGGGCTACTCACTGAGTATCAAGTCTCATCATCTAGCTTAAGTGAAGGTTCTCTTAAGCATTCTGGGACTGCTGAGGCTGGAAGAGTGAAAACATGGCCAGGACACTATTTAACTGTATATATTTTTAGACTTGACCTAACCATTTCTCAGTGAGTTTTTTTAATATCTGCCTCTCTACTTCCACTCTAAATACCCATACGTCCTAGCTATGCCTTTCTAATCATAGATAAGATAACTGTCAGCTTCTTGAATGTAGAGATTGTTGACTTTTGTTCTCTCCAGAAAAGAATAGGTAGATACCCTTTGGTTAACAAGCAAGTGTGGGACTAGAGAAGTCAACTCCTTGAAATCCATTAACCTGAGATTCTGTGGTGCTAAAACAAACTGCAAAGGTGGCACATACTTCTAAAGAACCATAAGAGAAGAATGGTAGAAAATATTTTTGATATTTTCTAAGTTGAGAAAGCAATTTAGAAACACAATTCATTTAAGAGAATGGGTTAATTTTGAGTAGTATGTCCTCGCTGCCTTTAGCCATATTGGGAAAACAAAATTTCATTTGTCAGTAAGGGAAAATCCCATCTAAGGCCATTTGGTTAAAATAACTTGCCTAACCCTGAAAACTAGGAGCACTAAGATGCCTGGGTATAAGCCTTAGAGAAACTATGAAACATCTGCCCCATCTACTTAAATCCCAATTGGACTTGGCAATGACTGAGCTTCAGAGCTCTGTTTAGAGAGAACATTCTAACACCACCTACAAATTGCGTCTCTTTAATTTGTGCAATTTACCAAGAGGCATATATTATAAAGTTTAATAAAATTGTATAGAAAAAAGCTCATGGTGGTAATTGCTATGATGATTTAAGGTCCTATAAGTGCAATGAAACATAGTTACCATGCATATAAATGCTACTTAATAGCTATTTAACTAGAAATTTTATTCTTATTTGGGGGCTTTCTCTTAAATCCCATGGCTTGTAATTTTAGATATTGCAGATCTTTGATATAGAATATGAATATAATTGGGAAACGGGTAGGGAGTTGCACAGATTTGGGTGTTGTGAGCCAGAGAACCCCACTCAAGTGCCAGCCTGGCGTGAAATTGTCCCCAACTTGTTTCTAAGCAAGAGTAGGGTTGGGGAGAAATTATCTTGCTTTTTATAAGGAATACATGTAGTGCACATCTCCAGAAACCAGCACCTTTTTCCATTCCTTCTTTCCCAAAGATGGGAAGACCTGAAACAGGTTCTAGGTACAAGGTGTTTTAAGTTTTGTGCTTGGTGACGTGTCTGTGACAGATTGAGGAATCTGTGCGGAGCATGGTAATGCGCTATGGAAGTCGGCTGTGGAAATTACGTGTCCTCCAGGCAGAACTGAAAATCAACATTCGCCTGACACCAACTGGAAAAGCAATTCCCATCCGCCTCTTCCTGACAAATGAGTCCGGCTATTACTTGGACATCAGCTTGTACAAGGAAGTGACTGACTCCAGGACAGCACAGGTACAGTAGTCAGGGGCTCCTTAGACTTTTGATTTTGTCCTTAAAGATAAGCCACTTGGCCTTGTTATGGAAAACCCAAACTCACAAGTCCCATTGGTTCATGTAGCGGAGTTATCCTCTGTCAGCATCAGTGCTCACATGAATTTGAAAAAACTTCATTTACCTTATAAGATGTGCCTGTGTTCTTAATCACAGATGTTATGAAACCCTCAATCTTTGTGACATACTAGTGAGCCCAAACAGATGCCAAGTGAACCTCAATCCAGAGGTAATTCTACAATTTAGCATTCTTTTATAAAGGGCTTTTGAGCTACCTGAACAATCTTGTCTTCTCTGGGCTGATCTGTCTTTCCTGTTTTCAGCCTTGACAGCCCACTCATTGGCAAGTAAAGAAAAGAAAATTGTTGAAATATATCACCAACTTTGATCGTAAGGAAAATTTCAGCATAATGTAATAGCTAGAGCAATGTCAAGCAGTGACTTTCTCATATTTACCCATTATGTTATTCCATTTACACACATTATTTTCCTTCAAAGAGTTCAGAGTATTATAGATCTATAGAAGAGCAAAGTAGCAAACTTTAACCCCTTTTTCAGGTAGAAAAATCAAGAATGTGAAAATGGAAGATGACTCTTTTCAGTAGATTGATTATGTCATAACAGAATTCCTTTTAATCTGTGTTCCCACCTTCATTTCTAAATATTTGTGCCATTTGCTGTGATACTGGATTTGGGTTGGTTTGCCATTGCTCACATCTTCTTAAGAACTGAGATGTTATTTTAGCTTTTTGGCCAGAACTTGGAAAGTGAATTTCTTCTGTTTAAAGGATGACCTTGCTTCAGTACGTGTACACAAGGGTTTCAGTTTCTTCTATGCAGTTGGTGCCAGGAAGAGATTATATGTCTCTTGTTTTTATCTATGTCCTTTTAAATCCAGGAACAGAGGCAAGAAAAGACATTTTTGCCAGTATTTTGAAGATGAATTTTAAAAATCTGAGTTTGGATAGTTGTCAGAGTGACCTTTCATTTTGTGCTTTGATTCCCAGTTAGATGGCCAGAGAAATCTATCCAGTGAGAAGTGAACAGTTAAAACAGAGAGAGAGAGAGAGAGAGAGAGAGAGAGCGCGCACAAGAGTGCAAGGGGTGAGCAAGAGAAAGAATATTCAATAATTTTTGCTGCATTTGATGTTTTTCAAGACAGCCTTAAAGACATTTTCAGTCAGAGCTTTCCATGGGCAGGGATATTTTTAATTAACTTCTACAATGGCTTCAAGGCAGTCTATTCTTGTGAAAAATAAGATGGCCACTTGAGATTTTAATGTTTTTGATAAATATGTTTGTTCTTCATAACTATTTTATTTTTCCTTTCTTTTATTAGAAAGCTCTTAGATTTCCTTCATTCTGGCTAGTGGTGACACAGGGGCATGAAAGGCTCAGATGCCTTCAATCATGATTTAGTACTATGCCTGGCACAAAATAAGTACTCAATAAGTATCTGAAAGAATGAATGAGCTACCTTTTGCCTGAGGGACAACCCCTATTACCATGGGTCCTACCTATTTAGGAAGCCCTAAAGGAAGAGGTCTCCTTCAGGCTGTTCAGTTGAGGGAGTTCAGCAGCCACTGCGGAATGTGAATGAACCCAAGAGCCCCTGGCCGGAGGAGGGAACCAGCAAAAGGAACAGTCTTCAAGTCTGCTCTGGTGCTCCTAATGCCTACCTGATACTTACTGCCAATTTATTTTTTTCCTTTCTTTGTTCTAGTGAGTCATTATGTGAATTCAAAATAATGTGGAACACTGTGTATCATTCATTCGTTAATTGATGTAAATTTACTGACCACCTATATAGTGTGTCAGGCACTATGGATTCAAAGTGATCTCTATTCTTAAGAAATTTACATCAGGGTGGAAGAAGACAGATAATTAGTTTGTCTGTAATATGATTATGATTTGTGCTATCAAAAGAACAAGGTTCTAAGGGAGCAGACTATGGGATCAGAAATTGTTTTCCAAGAGAAGCCTTTCTGATGGCCACTGATGAAAGGTGTATGATATATAAAATATATGCATATTTTCATAAACTTGTAAGACATACACTTTACCAATTTTTAACTACTATGTCCATTATAGTAGAAAATTAAATTATTGGTAGCTGATCATTCAGTGCTATCCATTACCATCAACCTCTTGTTCAGCACATCGTTTATTCTTTCTGACAACAAGGAGCAGGGTTGACTAGTTTGAGCTTCATTTTGTTTCATTTTCTTTGTAAAGTCTTTGTGGTGTTAGCTGTAATTGAACACTGATGCCAGCCATCACAGCGGGGAGAAGAGATTTGGGTAATCCGTTGCATGAGTCACTTGATTCCCAATGTGTAGTATAAGGGAGAAATATATATTTTTTAAGTTACCTTTATTGAGATACAATTTACATATAATAACATGTACTTATTTTATGTGTATACTTCAGTTCATTCTCAAATCATATAAACCTGTGTGACTCCCATCACAGTCATGATAGAGAACATCTTAAAACCCGTAAGAGTTCTCTTATTCTCTTTTGCAGTCAAAGGTAGAGTCACAGTTCTAGGCACCCAGTGGCCTGCTTTCTATTACAGACGAGTTTTGCCTGTCCTAGAATTTCATATAAATGAAATCAGACATTATGTACAGTGTTTATGTGGCTTCTTTTGCTCAGCATAGTATTTTTGAGATTCATCCATGCTGCATAGATGTAGACTCTGGGTATGTTCCTCTTCATTGCTGAGTGGTATTCCATTTTATGAATGTAACAAAATGTTTATATTTGTTCACCTATTGATGGACATTTGAAGCTTAATTTTCCAGTTTGGGCTATTATGAATAAAGCTGCTATATGAACATTCATATACAAGTCTTTATGTAGAATGTTTTCATTTTTCTTGGGTGAATATATGAGAATGTAATAACTGGGTCACAGGAAGTGTATTTTTAATTTTATAAAAAAAACTGCCAAACTATTCACCAAAGTAGTCCTACCATTTTCAAGTCCCACCAGCAGCGAGAGTACCCAGAGGGCTTTCTCCAGCCCCCTTCTCAGTCCACATGGTTATGTTGTTACTGACCAGCCTGACTTCATTCTACCTTGGCAAAAGTGAGTCTCAAACTCTTGTACCCACAGCTCTTGTCTTTCCTAATAGACAGGAATGTAGCTCCCAGAATCTGCTGCTTTTACTCCTTTTTCTTATTTTGATTTGGTTTATCTTCTCTCAGGAGTCCAGTTTTTTCATTCTAATACCTTGACCATACTTAACACTTTGAATCTCTTAAAACATTACTGTTTCTACCTAAGACATTGCTAATTTTACCTCCCACCCAGTGACTTTCACCATTAGTCATATAGAATAGGACTGGAAGCTCCATTCCATGGGGTTTAAGCAGCCCAAGACAATTTGTGCCCGGTATAGGACCTGACTGACCAGTCAGCAGAACATATTTGTTCCTCTTAGCTAGGCAGCTCCGGATTCATTTAGCTAAATGGTATCTAGGGTTTGGGAAAGTACTTAATTATGTTGTTAGGCCTATATATCAGGTTCACAAATCTATTTCTTAATGGTAGATTTAAGCTTATACATTTTAGACCAGAATAGATATGTGTGTATGCCCACATACCCTTATTTCCCAGGCTTCATTTGTATTCACTGTGTTTGGAGTCTATATTTAAGTATTCATGCATAAAGTGCCTAGTTTAGTGTTATACAACCTCTGGGCACTCAATAAATATTAACTGAATTGAAGTAATGGCATCCCTTATAAATATTCATAAGCAAATAAAACTAAATATATGAAGTATGAAGTACTCTTCTAGCTATATTTGAGTTGAAATGATTAAAAAATGGTGTGTTTTCATTATGTGACAATATAGGTATTGCAGGAGCTATTCGCTAGTTGTAGATGTATACTGGAGGATATAAATAAATGCATATCTGTATTATATTAATATATATATAATAACACATTTATTTTACTATGGGCTATGTCTAATGAGCTAACCAGAACTGACTAGCTGGATGGATGGATGGATGAAATCCACTTCTGGCAAAAATCTTTGAAACCTTTGTGTGGCTATGAACACTTATGAAGCACCTTCTAATCATAGACTGAAGCACAGATAATAGGGTAGAGCCTTGACCTGACTTCTGTTAGGGAAAGAGCAGAATTCTCTTCAGCACGTAGCTGTTCCTCAACTTAAATGTGTGGACTGCTTAGATTCATTAGTTGACATACTTCATTTCTGAGTATATGGAATTTTAGTCATTTTAGAAGGCAAGCATTGTCAGTCTGTCTCTGAGATGTGAAATTTACGCTGTGCTTTCTTGTTGATTTCAACTAATCCAAAAGTGAGAGCAACCCATGGAGTATCATTGGTTACATACCATTTTTTAGAGTTGGTTAATCTGTAGAGAATTGAGAACACTACCCAATGTGTAAAGGCATGTCTTAGCTACTCAACCCACCAAAAATGTGTGTCCAGAAATAACATTTATGAAAAAAGCCCCTCTAGGCAGCTGATTTTCTTCTCTGTCTCTTAACTCCCCCTTGTCATTCTCTTTCTCCTGTAGATCATGTTTCAGGCATATGGAGACAAACAGGGACCATTGCATGGAATGTTAATCAACACTCCATATGTCACCAAAGACCTACTTCAATCAAAGAGATTCCAGGCACAATCCTTGGGGACAACATACATATATGATATCCCAGAGATGTTTCGGCAGGTAAAGGTGGCTAACTGGGGGGTTTCTGATATGTTCTAAAGAGGCAGGGTTTTCCTGAATTTCCATTGGATGCAGCTTAGCCTGGAATGGGTCATTCCCAAAGGGCAAGAAGTATCTTGACACTACTCTCATTTCTGTCTCATTCGGGATTTGGTGACTGCCAACTCCAATATTGGACAGTTCTTTATGAATTAATAGGAGGAATGGTGAGGATAGAAGCTTCTATTGGGAAGAAAGTAAACTGAGATAGCATACCTATGATGGTAGTTTACAATGACCTGTGTGAGGAGTTACATTCAGGTATATATTTCCTAAGCTATAATCAAATTATGGGTATTAAAAAAGAGGCTTGAAACTCTACTTCTCTTTTTCCTATTTTCCAAGATAACCCAGGCCATTAGCTGATAGGTTAATATGATGAGGATCAATACTGATAACATATACAAATGGATATAGAGTTCATGATACACAGTTTAAAGTATCAATTCTTTCATGGAAGATTTATTATAGCTGAATAAAAACTAATGTGAGAAAATACATTATGATTCTCATCCTTTATTTGAAAATAAATTCCTTTGATCTGTATGGTGAATCCTCTCTATGCTGCAGATTTTTCTTCCATCAATAGAAGGCAAGAAAAGTACATCCACAGCAGAAAATGCAACAGATAGAGTATCAAAAGAATACTGAATTTGTCCTTAAAAAAAAAAAAAAATCTATGAATACAGGATTTTTCCAAGTCTTCTAGTCAATACTACTAGTATTACCACATTTGAATTTTAATAAAGTAATATATGTGGCCTTGGTAAATAGTCTACCTGTAAATACAAGAGATTTCCTGTAAGTAGTCATTTGTTTACAAGTTCTCTCTCTGGAAACATAGGTATCTTCATTTTGTATTGCCAACATTGTTCCCCTACAAGTTGTGTTGGTTCTGTTCCCCAATGCCAGAACTATAAATAGAAATGACACTCTGTATAATTTTTCCTGTAGAATAGACATAAACACTGTGATTGGAACATGTAGATATGAATATATCATATTGCCTTTAAATGTTGTTTTGAGACAACCAAAGAAACAGCTAGTTCCCACTTCATGAGGCATTTGTTCTGGTCATATGAAGTTGGAAATGGAAATCAAAATGGTTTTAAAATGGATAGGTGTGTCTGTATTCTCAAATTTGACCAGAATTGATCCGCACATTTACAAATAGTCATACATCCCTGATGAGCTAATTCCGCATATGGGCCTATAGATCTGAAAAGACATTAGGAAAGGATGCTTTTCCTGAGCCTCTAGTAGAAACTTTATTCTTGCCGCCTTAGATTTTTTTTGGTATTAGCTGAGTGTCATATCACTTTTCCCGGTTATTTTTCTATTCTTCTGGGATTTTTCTTCCTTTTTTAAAAAAGAGGGATTAATGTTACTTATTTAGTTTTTTATTTTAATTTTCCTAGGTATTGTTAGGTCTGTTTGTTAGGTCTATTGCATTTGTTAATGCTCTTGTGCTGATTCCGAATCACTCAGTAATTTGACTTTGTTGGAAAAGTGCCTGATTTTGATATGTAAAAAACATTATGTGAAAAATAATTACAAATCTATTTTAACTGAGAATGAGAGCTGCAGAATTTGGTCTAATGCTTTGATGCTCAGCAGAACACTTGGAAAGGAAAGAGTAAAATCAGATTGACTGAAACTTAATATTTGTTTTTGTGTATGTTAAAATGCTGATTGTCACTGATTAGTCAAACTTCTCTCCTCCACTAGTCTCTGATCAAACTCTGGGAGTCTATGTCCACTCAAGCATTCCTTCCATCACCCCCCCTGCCTTCTGACATGCTGACGTATACTGAGCTTGTGTTGGATGATCAGGGTCAGCTGGTCCACATGAACAGGCTTCCAGGAGGAAATGAGGCAAGTCATTGATTCCCCTTCCCCCTTTTCTTATATCTGTGCCCACTAGTGGCAACTTTCCATGGGGGTGGTCATTAAATAGTATTAATTTAGACGCTGCATAGGCACATAGTAGTCTTGTTGGTAGAGTTCTTTAGAGAGAAAACATTGACTGGATATCAAGGAATTATTAATTTTTTATGTGTGATAATGATGTGCTTTTTTAAATGGTGTTAAAGTTTTGCTTTCTAAAAAACAGCTATGTTTTCTGTTACACATAACTACTAAAATAGTTACAGATGAAATGATCCAATGTCTAGGATTTGCTTCAGAGTAATAGAGGGGTGAGTGTGGGAGTATAGAGAAAACAAACTGGCCATGAGTTGTTAATGAAAGCTAAATGATATATACATAGGAATAGACTATTTTCTCTATTTTTGTATATACCTGAAATTTTGAGATTTTCTTTAATGTTTATTTTTGAGAAGAGAGAGCACATGCACACAAATATGCATGTGGGGAAGGGCAGACAGATGGGGAGACTGAGGATCCAAAGTGGGTTCCGTGCTGACAGCAGAGATCCTGATGTGGGGCTGGAACTCACAAACCATGAGATCATGACCTGAGCCAAAGTAGGATACTTAACTGACTGAGCCACCCAGGCGCCCCTGAGATTTTTCTATAATAAAAACATTTAAAGTATTGTTTTGCTTGATGTTGTTTCTTATTTGGATACTTACATACTAGTACACCTTTTTTGGTATATTTTCTGTGCTCTAATTTAATCTAGTGCTGTTATGATCATGATAAATATATTCTTAAAGGGGCTCAATCAGAACCAGGGGTTTAAACATAAAAGAATGTAGCAGAAGGCACATTTCTGATAGTAATCTAAGAATTCATTTTCTGGCATTGGAATCCTCTCTTGTATGGTGCACTGTTAATAATGATATAAAGTCATAATAACCTATCTCCTCCTCTTCCTGATTTTAACTATGCTTCTAATGTACAATTACAACCAAAACAATAATAAACTTAAAAAGAGACAGTTTTTATTTCAACCTTAGATAGAATCCCTAGATAAATCTCATTGTTTAGAAAGAGTAATCTTTACCCAAGTGTTCTCCATAAACAGGCTAGGTAGACCTTTGGAGATAATACGTGGTATTTTCCATTTTGTGTATCTTTTTCAAAAAATGTTACTGTATATATAAGGTGTATGCTGTTTCAGTAAGTACACCAGTGGATGCCAAAAGTAGATGAATTGGTATTAAGATGGATGCAGGCATTGGACCAGGTGGAGAGTATCAGACTTACAGTTCTTCTAATCTAATGCCTCAACAGATAGCAAAGGCAAGAGGCGAGGAAGAGAAGATGCATAGAATTTTCACAAGAATAGATATGTACTCGTTAACACACCAGGTTGAAGCAGAGGCTTGTGCCACAGTGTGACATCTACATAGTGAGCCCCTCAACAGCAAAGAAAAGCTTCATTGTGCTAGACCCAAATTCTGTTTCATTCAACAGTGTAGTCTTTAGGAATGGAAGGCACCCTTGTGAACATGGGGCTGAGAGAAAAATGGTTTTAACTAATGTAATTAAAACAAAAAATGAGATTTTGGGCCACATGAAAGCTAGCTGCACTGCTGTGTGAAACCTCTTGCCATGATCTTTCTCTCCTGCTTTCTCTCTGCTCTCATTCTGTGTTTGAGCGAATGGAGACTGGGGGAATAGTGAAGTCCCAGAGGGACAGAGCTCTGTTCTTGCTGAAATTACAAGCACAGAGCTGCCTGGGCATGAACATGTAGTGTTTACTCTGCCAGTATGAATACAAATAGTCTTATTATACGGGACTCTGTACCCAAAGACCACACACACACACACACACACACAAGAATAAAAAAAAAATTTAAAGGTTTTTTTTAACCCCTTTAAGACTCACCAAACCTGGGTGGAAAAGGGATGTCTTAAACAGCCACATAGTACTGTAGTTACAAGCAGTAGAGTCGGGATGGGGACCATATGTTTCCCTTTGCCCAGTGCTTTAATAACCTTGAAATTGAGAAATCTAATTGTATTTAAATTTTTTATTTCTGTTTTTGTCAGTTCTCACTTTCTTGTTCTACCTTTTATCCTCCTTAAAGGGTTGCCTATTTTCTTTGTTCTCTTTTTCTTCAAATGATTGACCAGGATTGAGGCTGAGTTGTTAGCTTGCTGTTTCTGAGTCTTTGAGCTCAGGAGAAGTGAGACCAATGTTCTTTTGTGAGCAGTTAGTGACTAATGCCTGGGATGGTTGGTGAAGTCAGTCCATGGCTGTAGCGAGATTATAGGGTATTGCACAACAGGAATGGGATTGGGGTATAAGTATCAAACTCTGTTACCAATAGCTTGAGCATACAATGGTGTGCGTTCACTGAGAAACCGACCAATCTGAAGATGGAGTTTCAGCAGTCAGAATTCTGAGGGACAGCTGTGCCTAAGAGATGACGAGGCATCAGTGGGATGTATTTCCTCATGCTGAGCCCAGTTTTATCAGAGCAAGTTGACTTTCAGCTATCGCAGTTTAATTTTCTTTGGCAAAAGAGACAAGTTTGTCATGAGCCTGGCACTCTATGCATTACCCCAAGAGTGATGTGAAGGGAACGAGAAGAGCTCATGCTGATGAGATTTGGAGCAAATCTGTCCTGTCCCAAAGAGAATGGGCATCTGAACAGAGCCTTGAGAAATCGTTTTATTAAAAAAGGAATAAAAAATTGACCTGTTAATGTTCTGAGAGCCAAGGCTTGATGTAAATGTATTGATGCTACATAGACATTAAATCATCATAATGTGGTGTTCTCCAAAGGTGACGGCTCTACCAGGTCATCATTGTGGGTGATACTGCATTACCTTGAAGGATTGGAGTTTCTGGGTTTAAAAGCTAGCACATGGATATAAGGAATAAAGGTAAAACAAGAGATTCCTGCAGAGTTTCCCCATGAATCGAGATGCTTTTCCCCTTTTCCCCATAATCAAAGGCAGAAAACCTGTACTTACCAGAGCATCGGCTATATGGGTGGCCAGGCTTTCTTCCCTGTTTTTTTTCCAGGACAGTAAATAGGTAAAATGGTGATGGGACCAGGACTTGGAACAATTCAGTTCCATTTAGTTTTAGGTAACTTGTTTGCCATTTGAGAAAGACTATTGGCTGTTTCAGCAGAGATGTGACCTGCATTTTGAACACTGTCCCCACGTTAAAAGCAGGAGAAAGAGAGATTTTCTGATGTGGTGTTAGCCACTTTCTCCTTTCTATTTTCCTAGTTGTCCCTTCTCCATCAAGAAAGATGTAACTGAAGGAATGCCACCTTATTCATGATGGAAGTGTAGGAGAACACATTTTTCTCATTGTCAGATTTGAATGGCATTGCATTTAGTATGAATTTAGAGTAGGATTAAAAGAGATGTAGACCAAATCTGTGAACTATGTTACTTGCAAATAGTTCCAAAGATGAGTTGTCTAGGATTTTTTTAATAGTTTTGAGTAAAGATGAAAATTGTGGAAAATGTGATTGCAACATAGACTAAACTTATTTCAATTCTAGCTGCTATGAAGCTACAGTGATGGGCAGTGTATGTAAATACACAGCTAGATGAATGGTGTGCTGCTGAGCCTGGAATCAGAGGAAGTGCAGCCAACTCACAGTTCTACTTTTACTGCTTCTCAATTTTGGAGGAATTGTTTTCATTTTCCTGCCAGTTTGCTAACCTGTTTTGATCATTTGGTGGAAGCTGTAATTGCAGGTGGGAACATTTTGAGTAACAGTTCACAATCCACTGCAGCTACTTTTCACGCTAAATCCTGTTATTAAAAGGCTCAGGCTAAGATCAAGCCAAGGGCGGTAACGGACTTGACAGAGAACAGCTTAACTTTGCTTGGTATAGGACAAAGAAAACCGTAGCCTTCTTGAGACTACATTCTTACTTGTTCTGACATGTTATTAGCATTCTTTTATCATATTTTCTTTAACTCCGTGAAATAAATCATGAATGTCTAAACTGGGCAGCGATGAAAGATATGATAGGCAAGCAACTTTCATAGCACTTTTAGTGTGGACAGAAAGTAGGACCCTGTTTTCCTCTCTCTGTCAGCACATGGGATTTTTAACCATGCAAAACCCTTCCCCACATCTCTCCTGTCATAATGGAAAACTGAGATAAGAGGAAGATTCTCTTTAGAAGCAGCTATAATAATCAGGTACAGGGTGTGTATTCCACAAAGGATCAGCAACTAAAGACTGGAATTCTTGTGTGGTATTAAATTTTTTCCTTAAAATTTTTCTGGGAGATAAGCATATTCCAAATTGAATGCAATTTGATGACTGCCTTCACATGCACACTCACTACCACTCTTTTAAGAATTGCAGTCGCTCCAAGGCTTCATTTCTTCAGATGGGCACTAGGTGTCAGGGTTTTTCCTTCTCAGCAGCTTGGCATTCAGACAAGCCTCTGAATTGCCCGTTTGGTGAGACAGATCCAGTGGTATCCTTCCTCGTTTTTCTTCAGTTGGTGTGGTAGGCTTTGCCTGGTGTTCCTCCAGTATGCAATTGCATTTTTAACTCTTTGGGCGGAGATCTGTTGAACCTTATCACATCCTTGCCCTACACATTTTTTACAAGAAACATCTGTTTAGGAAGAGGATGATTGAGGAGGAAAAAAATAGTGGAAATTAAAGTTTAAAGACTGGTTGCCATCATGACTGGTATCTTTTATGTTCTTGAGGTGAAAGGGTAGGGATGGTGGGAATTAGGAATTCAGTCCTAGAACTGCTCAGCCTTGCCAACATTTAATTGTTGGCAGTGTGTGGATGTCTGGTTTCACCAAGGTATAAGTGTCTGTAATTTTTTAATATAAAATACTTCAAACTTAGAAAAAATTATGGAGAGCGATATATCAAATATCCTTGCATCTACTGACTAGCTTAAACAAATCTTCTCATTTTGACACTCCTCCTCACTTATATGTTGCTATAATCCTTTGAAATC